TTAACTGACATGACAAACCACAGAGCCTCTGAAATGTGTGTACAAACAAGAAAGATAGAAGGGGAAGGGAGGAACAGGTGGTATGAAAAAAGGGGAGAAGACGTAGTGACATAGGACCACCTCCAGAAAAGGTCCGTATATACCCCATGCTGTTGCTGTTGTTGTTATCGCTTGCCACTCATAGCTGCCCTATGTACAACAGCTCTGAACCCTGTTCTATCCTGAGACAAATTTATTATCTCAGACACACCTACCCCCATTATCCCAGTCATTGAGTCAATCCATCTCATCCAGGGTCTTCATCTTTTTTGCTCTCCCTTCACCCTCCCAAACATGATGTACCTCTCCAAGGACTGGTCGGTCCCTCTTTGCAACATGTCCAACATTTATGAGACAGAACTTCAGAATCCTTGCTTCCAAGGAGCAGCCAGGTTTCACCCTTTCTAGGCTGAACCGGTTTATGCCATGTGAGGTATCTCGAAAAGAAAGGCCAGAGAACTCCCAGCCTGGTAAAAAGGGCGTGGAGAAGATACTTGAGCACAGAAGTACAGAATTTACTCTTCCAAGAGAGTATGACTGAGCTGGGACTTCTGAAGATGAGTGTATATATGTATAGAGTGTACGTATGTATAGAGATTCCCCAACTTTAAATACCACAGTAAAGCACCGTGAGAGACATATGGTCATCATTCTGCAAGCAGAGAGCATCTACTTCACACTCTGCAAGAATGCTTATGAGTTTATCATCACATCAGGCGGAAAGTCTCCATTGAACCCATTCGTCGCTCCTTTATAATGTTCTGAAATGAGTAAAGGGCTTTCACCATCCTTATCTGTTAGAAATGCAACACAAAAGTTTTGGGGGTTTTTTGCTTTATTTTGTTGACTGCCTTCGAGTCAAGAACACCACACAGCGACCCTATTTAAAAAAAGCCTGAAGCCTTTCGACAACTATTCACATTTATCAAAGTTCATAGAGTTTCCAGAGGCATGTTGTTCTGCTTCCAAACCTGTCTGAAACTGGGAGCTCCACCAAACCTCGTCCACCATGGGTAACCTTTATGGCATTTGACACCCCAATGGCACAAGGTTCAACATCACAGCAACCCCAAGCTACCTCAGCACAGCATTCTTTCCATAAAGATGAGATTAAGGCAGCTGACGCCCTTCCGGGAGAAAGGTGCAAAACAAAAGTCATTTTTATTCTGCCCAAGTAGCTCATAATGTAGCAGACAAACTGTCAGAAAAAAAATAGACTTCATTATGGTGAAAACCTCGGCCTGGCACCCATCTATCATAAAGCAATCTTCTAGAAATCTTGAAAACCTTCATTACATTTCCTGTCTCTCTTCTGACAGTTACGAAATGTTAACAATATTACTCATGATACAAGCATCTTCAGAAACTCTTTGTACGATCCTTCTTTCCCCCTGCCACCACCTATCCTCTGTTCTTCGCCAAAATCATGGAAATATGTGACATATCCATATTCTTTGCACAGCCCTCCTGGTACCTGATCCTTCCAGGACACCACAGGAGAAAATCGGGGTAGTCACTATAGTATGTGACTAAGATAATAAGAAGGCTCTCTAGACACACACGGCAGAGAACAAAATAATACGGTCTGGCATTCCTCCTCCAAATGCCGTACCCAATTAGAAATCCAAGAGCCAGACCTTAAAGTACCCAGGACAAATTTTATCCTTTGTCCTTTTTTCCCCCCAGGATTTTTTTTTCCCAAATCTAACATGCTACATAAAAGTCTCCACTTGTACTGATAAAGAAATAGAGAGCAGGGACAATGGGTCACACGATTTCTCAAGTTGATCATGGAGTCAGCTTTGTAAGGGAAAGTCCTTCACAATCTTAGCACACCAAATCCTCTAACTCCAGGAATTTGCTAGCCCTGGGAAGAACAGCATATACGTGTCTGGCATTGGCAGGGACACCAAAGAGAAAAACCATTCAAAGACAAAGAAGTCCCATGAGCAGCCACTCAGCTGGGTGACAGCACACAGCTATCAGGGCACAGTGTCCTTTAAGAGATGAAGGGGTGTGTCAAATACTATACAGCCTTGACCGAAGTTTCTTAATGTGTCTCCAAGCACAGCCAAGTGCAACCACGACAAGCATCATCTTACCTGCATAAGGAACTGGAGCATCTTTATCCAGGGCTACCAGTGGTGGGTCCAAAATGACTGTGTCGTTGTTCTCAGTTATGACGCCATGATACGAAGTCTCAATCCAGGGCTTGTGCTTGTTGACTAGAGAAAAGTAGGAGAAAGAAACATAACAAATAAAAAGACTGATCTTGAGATTGTTGTTTGAATACTGTTCCCATGTACCCCCAAGATGGAAACAACTCAGAGTTGACCCTCCAGTGAGTTCCAAAGGCTGTGGTCACACCAAAAGAGATGGACCATCTTTCTCCTGGGCAGTAGTAGCTGGTGGATTTAAACCACCCTAATATCTTAATATCTTGTTCACAGCTTCAGTTTGCTCGGCTCCACGGTCAACACTCTTGACACCAGCAGCCAGGAAATCAAAAAACGTATTGCGATGGGAAAGTCTGCTGTTAGAGACTTCTCTAAAGTACTCAAGAGCAAAGGTGTGTCTCTAGAGACTAAAGTGCGCCTGATACAGGCCATGGTCTTTGCAATCACTTGTTATGCATCAGAGAGTTGGACAATGACTAGGAAGAATAGAAGGAGAATTGATGCCTTTGAGCTGTGGTGCTGGAGAAAAGTATTGAATGTACCATGGACTGCCAAGAAAACAAACAGATTCATCCTAGAGAGGGTTAAACCAGGCTACTCCTTGGAGGCAAGGATTCTGGGGCTTCGTCTGACATACTTTGGACATGTTTTAAGGAGATACAGGTCTTTAGAGAGGGACATCATGCTTGGGAGGGTGGAGGGACAGCGCAGGAGGGAAAGACCCTCTATGAGGTGGATTGATTCAGTGATGGGTAATCAGGATGGGTGTGTCAGAGGCCATGCGATTGGCACAGGATAGAGCAGGGTTTAAGGCTGTTGTACATAGGGTTGCTATGAGTCGCAAACGACTTGATGGCACATAACAACAACAACAACAACAACAACAACATCATCATCTTAACAGAAGGCATGAGGTTTGAATTCACACAGGAAAAAGATGGTCCATTTCCTCTTGTACAATTAAACTGCCCCTGAAAACCAGTAGAGGTTCAAATCTGAGTCAGTTCTGACTCAACAGTACATAACCACAGCAGCAAGCTGCATAGCACTGTTAATGTCATGCCTTTGCCCTCTAAAGGGCTCTATTATAAATACCCCGTGAATGACAGTGAGCATGTTAGCCCCATTTTACACTCCTGGGAGCTACAGAGGCCTTCGGAGAGATTCAACAAATCACAGATAAGGGAAGGGGCAGCTCTGAGAATCAAACAAGGTGTGTTGTTTCAAGACTATGAATATTTTATCCACAGAAATCACATTATTTATATTGCTGAATGTCCAATGTTGTTGTTGTTACCGTTGATGTTAGGTGTTGTGACGTCAAGTATGATTCATAGCGAACTTATGAACAACAGAATCTGTCCTGTCCTGTGCCATCTTCACATCCCCTGACATACTAGAGCCCATTGCAGCAGCCACCAAGTCAATCCACCTGGTCAAGGATCAAGGGTTTTCCTCTCCTTCTCCAAGGAATAGCCCCTCCTAGCAACATGTCTGAAGTATGTGAGGTGAAGCCTCATCATCTTTGCCTCCAAAGAGCACTCTGGCCGTACCATCTCCAAACCATATCTGTTTGTTGTTTTGGCTGTCCATGGACTGTTCAGCACTCTTCTCCAACACCACAGTTCAAAGGCATTAATTCTTCTTCTCTCCTCCTTATTCATTGTCCAGCTCTCAGATGCATAGCGAGTGATTGGAGAGATCATAGCTTGAATAAGGTGCATTTTAGCCCTCAAATGGACGTTATCACTCCTCAATAATTTGGAGAGGTCTCTAACTGAAAACTTTCCCAGTGCAATGCATCTTTTGATTTCCTGATTGCTGGTACCAAGTGTCTTAATTGTGGATCCAAGTAAAATGAAGTTGTTGATAGTTTCAATCTTTTCTCCATGTATCATGACACTGCCTATAGGCCCAGTGATAAGAATCTTTGTCTTCTTGGCACTGAGATGTGATCCATACTGAAGACTGTATTCTTTAATCTTCTGCAACAAAGGCTTCAAGTCCTTCTCACTTTCAGTGAGGAAGGTTGTGTCATCTGTATAATAAAGATCATTGATGAGTCTTCCTCTGATCCTGGTACCACATTCCTCTTCATAGAGTCCAGCTGCCCAATGTAGGTAGACGCCATTTAAAAATCAATGGAAAGCTTTTATTTGTGCGTGCTATGATCCTCTAATAGATGCCAGTTTCAGAGTCAAAGTCCTTTATCTAGTAACAAACCAGCATATAGTGTCCTGAGATTTCTGATCTCAATCTAATCTGATCTACCACTAGAAACTAGGAAGAAATTATATCTATTATACATTGCTATATATATTATACATTGCTATATATAGTATCTGGAAGCAGGAGCGGCATCCACTTCCAAAATGGCTTGCCTCTGGAAACTCTATGTACGAACAGTGCTCAGGCTGTTCGTTCATAGGGTTGCTA